TATATATATATAAAATTTTTTTTTTGCAGAAAGCTTGTGTGACCGCGAGTGATCTGTCGTAAGTATACATTTTCAAAATTGTTTTTAAGTTTCTACTATGAAATTCGAATACTTTTAGTATGATACAGTTTACCTATATTCAGGTATTCAATTAAAAAAAATTTATTTTTGACGCTTAAATTCCAAAGCATAATTTGTAAATCACGTATTAAATACGAACGACTATAAAAACTTCTTAACTCGTAGAAGTAGGAATTATGATATTTAGTTTAGTTAATTTCAAGCTGTGATTTTTATCATTAAGTAGAAAATATTATTTCACCTCCAAAAAAAAAATTGTTTCGAACAGGACTGAAACACTAAAAAATATTCGAAACTTCAGCGTAGAGCTGAAATATTCGAAAAATTATTATAATTGAAATATTCAAAATATTGTTTTAAATAATCAGTGAAATAATTAATTAGGAGAGCTCATAATTCTTCTATTCATAGTTCTATTGCGCTAAAGATAAGTTATTCATAGAAATTCGTTCTTTTTTTTTCAACATTATTTCCAAATAGCTTTTACATGAAATTTATTATTTCTTTCAAAGCTGCGCCACTCTTGTTCATATATATTTTGAAAACCTGGAAATAACGACGTTTACTTACATGCCTAGATTTGAAGTAAGTTTTAGCTTCATTACATTTACAACTTTTTCATTTCATAAAAATGAATAAGAAACTTTTTAGTTTAAATATTTATTCAAAAATTTTTGGTGTTCATGAAAAAAATTTCTTATGAGATTCTACCATATAATATTTTCCTAAAAAATATTCTAAGCAAAACTTTAAAAAAAATCTTTCTTTAAATGAATAAATGTATGTATGGCTAAAAAAATTAAACTTAAACTTAATTTTTTTTCCACTATTTTTCTTGAAAATCCATTATACACACAATTGTGTGTATAGTGGATTTTCAGAAAATGTTCCTATAAATTTATACTACTTTGGGTACTTACGTATTGTTACGCATTTCAAGAACTTCTACTAGATAAGATAACAGCACATTGCTCAGAAAGGTCTTGTTGCCATAATGGAAATTGCATTCGCTTCTGAACAATTTCAAAATGTGGCTTATCATTATATTTTCGGACTCATCAATTATGTTTTTAACAACTCAGGACTAATTGCATTTTTTTTTGTTTCATAGCCGATCGGAATCTTAAGTTTCATAGGAGGATATGTAGGTCTATGGCTGGGCATATCTTTCTTGACGGTCTACGACTTCCTTGAAACTAGACTCTTCCACCTTGTCTCGGTCATCAAAAAGAAAACACGGATGAGGAAAGTTTCAGCCGATCCACGCACCGATCGTTACAGCGTCAGAACTAATAGCAATCTCGCCTCAAAGGACTCCAAACCAAAGCATTCCTTGAAGATACCATCCAAACTACTATCACCAGTTTACGTAACCAATCATCGTGGGCAAAAACTTCAGCACACGTGATTCACAATAAAGGGCCATTCTCTCTGTATGTGTAAAAGAAAAAACGCTTATGTCAATTCGGATTGGTGAGTTTGACGCATGATTGCGACGAACTTTTCGCATACAGTGTGAACTGTTCCTAACTCACTGCTTTGCCAACCGATTGTTCTAATATAAATTTTAGTAGTTGACTGTCTACGAAATTTTCTTTTTTAAGCTTGTATAATTTCAATAAAATTATGGTTAATCGAATATTTTGTTTTTCTCTCTTCTTTAAATCCTAGGTAATTAAACTTAACCTATACATTTTGAACCCCATCCGGCAGACAAGGCAGCTCCTGGATCAAGTATTTAGACAAATTTGCCTCCGTAGAGGACTTTTTGATGGAACTAACCCGTATTTGCGTTACACGGAGAGGAAAACCACGAAAACCTCCCACGGTTAGCCTGATGGTAAGGGGATTCCTGATTTTCTGAGTCACAACGACTCGGCCCGATTAATAATACAAAAATTGTTTCTTATAAAAAATAATTTCATTGAGATAATGATAAACGTTTAGATGGAATCCTATTACACCCAAGAAATCTGAAAAACATTTTCGTGGTTTTCCTTTGCGTGTAACGCAAAATTTTACAATTTTAATTTCAATTTAATCATGGTTAAAACAAGTTATTTTTATTATATTTATAGATATTGTTACACCGATAATTAAATTGCTTTGATTTTTGGTTTGAGTTAAAAATTACAAAAAATAAGAGGAACATCTTGTTATATTCACAGAGATGATTGGCTGTCTATCAAAGACGCTAAAAAATGATTCATTATATAAAAAAAATTCATTGCGATTACTGAGCATTTGCATTTAGCTGGAATTCTTTAAATGTCAAGCAATCTGAAAGATATTTTCGTGGTTTCCATTTACATGTAACGAAAAATATGATTGTTTCCTTTAAAAAAAACATCCATAAAGGCAGCAATGCCTAAATATTTACATAAATTATGAGTTATTTTATCTTTCTTCCTTGTTAAAACGAAACAAAATGAAGAGCATTTGAATGATTGCAATTCATTAGCAGGGTAGATAGCCATTTGCGGATATTAAAAAATGATTAAGCAGATCGGAAATTGATAGATGCTCCATACAATTAAATTCATAATAAAAGCTACGAATAATTATTTTGATGAAAAAGATTTTTATTTTTGATTCTCAAAAAAATTTAGAATTTAAATTAAATAATTAAATTAAACAAACTTAAAAAATTTTAGAGTTTATAAATTGATTTTAATGAATAACACTTACACACAATGCTTAGGTACGGCGGGGATGTCAGAAAATAATCTACTTAAAGATCCGAGCACCACTTTTTGTGCGTAAAACCGGTCTGGCAATAGCGTGTTGCTTTTCAAAATCCCCCCCGGGAAAAGTGAAATGTCCTTATCCTCTAAGTTAGTCCCTCAGCCGCGATGGCTCAGGGGATAGAGCGTTCGCCTTCCAATGACGTGAACCCGGGTTCCATCCCGGCGATGGCTGGTCGATACGAATTCTGCATCCAACTTGCCCCGACCACAGTGTTGACGTGAAATATCCTTAGTGGTAGACGGATCATGGGTTATAGTCCCCTTGCCGTCAGGCTAACCGTGGGAAGTTCTTGTGGTCTTCCTCTCCAAGTAACGCAAATGTGGGTTAGCTCCATCAAAAAATCCTCCACGAAGGCAAATTTCTCCCAATACTCGATCCAGGAGTTCCCCTGTCCTCCGGATTGGGTTCAAAATTACAAGGCTACGGAGTTGAACATTAATAGTCGTAAGCCCATGAAATTGGGTCGGCTGCTCAACGACGGTTATAAATTAAAATATATTAGTCCCTAGAGGCCAAGATAGCCTGGTTAGTAGGACACTGGGCCCATGTCCAAGAATTCGTGGATTCGATCTCCGCGGCCAAAGTAAATGGTGACTGATGCACGTTAAATCTGTCTAGTCGCAAAGTCTCTCATGTTTCCATATCAAATCAATACCTCTGGGGGTACTGATCCAGAAGTTTCCTTGTCTTCTGGATTGGTTCAAAATGACAAGACTGCTGAGTTAAATATTGATAGTTATAAACTCAAAAAATGGTTCTGCTGTTCAACGATGGTTATAAAATAAGATCAAGTTTATAGAGCTGTGGTGACTCCGGGGATAGAGCAGTCGCCTCTCGATGAGATGATCCGAGTTCGAATCTCAGCGATGGCAGGTCGATATGAATTCCGCACCCAGCTTGCACCGACCATTTTGTTGATGTAAAATATCCTCAGTGGTAAAAGCGAGATTCGGCGAGGGGACTGTCTATATTCAGGGGTGATTGGGACACAAATTGAAAAAATTTAGAAGTTTTACGTGCAAAAATTCGATATCAATTTATATACCAAACATGCTTCATATTTAACATCATTTTTTGAACTAGCATTTACAATAAAATTTCTTACTAATAAAGAATATCACACATTTATGGTAATTTAATTCAAGGAAAAACTTACTTCTTACAAGAATCTGCGATATTGCACTTTAAAAACTCTTGAATATGTATCGCGATATTGGATTTTAAGAATCATAATATTGGATTTCAAAATCTCTTAAATATGAATTGCGATATTGGATTTTAACACTAGGTTTACGGGATGCGCCATTTTGACGAATTTCGAATTTTATAAGGAAAATTACAAAACTCGTAGGCATTTTTATTTTATCTCTTATAATGACATTTATCCATTGATCGAGGTAAATATATATTGAAGTTTATTTTCTTCAAAAGCGTTGAAATATTGAAATTCTCTTTGTGGTATACCCTATCTCTATGGATATGAGTCAATTTGACGCGATCGTAATTTAGACAAAATTTTGAGTAAACACGCAAACATCACATCAATAATAAATAGGAATGTACCGACAGTTCTTCGATCCGTTATCCGATATCGTTATCTCAAATGGAACAAGCGATAAACAACTGTTGCCGATAAGCAATAATAGAAAGAATAAACGCGGAACGTCAACTGATGTCAGAGTGCGAAAAGATTTTGAATGTTGTAGTTGCTTAGTTCGAGTATTGAAAAATAAAATACTATAATATTTTTTGAATTATTAATATTATTGTGAACCTCAATTTTATACTATTTTGGCAAAAAGCCCTTCTTTATTATCTGAATATGTCTAGAACAAGAAATGATATTTTACAAAACATAGTCAGTATTTGTGAGGAGTATTCTGGCTCTGAAGAAGATGAAAATGAAGTGATTCAAAACGAGGAGGGAATCGAGATTTTGGAATCTGATGAAAGTATGCAAGCACGGGAATCATCATCAGACAGTGAAAAAGGAAATCCTCAGAAATTAGGTCTTCGCAGAAAAAGGATGTGTATCCTATCCAATTCTGAGAATGAGACAAGTATTACGGGATCATCCCAGAATTCGGATGCATTCTGTGATACAGAAATCGCAGCAGATGGAACAACTTGGAATAAATTGAAAATGGCCGGTTCTAGTGGTCGACATCCTATCCACAAAATCTTCAAAGACATCGCTGGGCCTACTGGTCAGGCAAAACGAAATCACCCACCATCTAGTACTTCGGGAGAACGCAAGACTTGCCAAATTGGCTTTTGTAAAAGAAACAGGAGCAATAACACCTGCAAAATATGTGAAAAGGTTGTTTGCGGAAAGTGTACAAAGAAAATTGAATATTTGTGTAAAAGATGCGCGAAATAAATATATAATATTGAAATATTGTGTAATAAAATTAGTGAATAATAAAAACTTTCCATAAATATATATATCTCATATTTTCATTTTTTTTCCGTATAGTATTTAATTACATTGTTTTCTAAGCGCTGTTATATGTATTCGAACATGCGTCAAATAGACGCGTGTTCTTATGGAGATAGGTATGGAAGAAACGTCCGTAAACCTAGAGTTAAAAACGCGAAAATACAAATTTAGATGAGGGATTTTAAATCGCTTAAATACAAATCGAGATACTTGATTTTTAAATCACCAGAATAAGAATTGTAATGTACAATTTTTAAATAGCATGAATACGAATCGCAACTTTTAAATTGGGTAAATAAGTAAATCGACACTTGATATTAAAATCGAGTGAATAAAAAATCACGATATTAGCAGATTCCGGCGCAGTTCCAAATATTCATTTGGTAAAAATCCGTCAAACAAAAAGAATTAAATTGGCAGAAGAATCACGTGTCTGCAAACGTCTCATTGACGGAATATATAGATCAATTTCGAAATTTCATAGAATTAAGTTTTTGATAAGCGGAAAAATCACACTCTGCTTCTAGTTATTAAACCCATGAGAATGATACAAAAAATCCGGAATTCCAGGCTACACTCGGAATACAATCTCTCCTGTATAAGCCGTAATGGCTCAGGGGAAAGAGTGCTTACCTTCCAATGAGGTGAACCAGGTTCGAACCCCAGCGATGGCTGATCGATACGAATTCCGCATCTGGTTCGCAATGAGCTGGCGTAGAATATCCTCAGTGGTAGATGGAACATGCGCTTCGTATATATCGTATCTACCTACCTATCTTATTAAACCCAGGAGAATGATACGAAAAACCCAGAGTTCAGGGTGCACCCAAGATACAGTCACTAATGTTCCAATGAATTTAAACACTAAAATTTAATAAATTGCAATGAATTTAATAAATTTTAATGTTTATTTTCTTCATCTTTTTACACATACTTAAACTCCCATATACTTGTTTGGTACTCGAAAGTACAACTTTCTAAATTCAGTTTCCCATCTCGTGCTTCTAAGCACATCAGACCCCGTAACTCCCTATAATATTAACCTATACATTTCAAACTCCGCTCAAAATTAGAGTTTAATATATCAAACAATTGCACCGAAGCTTTTTTTTTATAGACTAATTAGAGGGGCCACAATGAGCCAAAATAAGTTTTGTTTACTAACCGGGAGAAGGTGTTTTAAGCTAAATATTCGTAGAGTAGGAATGTGAAGCATGGCGTAGTTGGTATAACTGTGGGGCATTGTAGATTTGTTGTCCCGGGGCCATGGGTTCGAAACCCTGAAAGGGTCGACACTCAAATTTTTTTTCTTTTTTTTATATTATTTTTTTAAATATATTTTTTGATATTTTAACGTGAATTAAGTGTTCTGTATATTAAAAAAACTATTTTTTCATCGGGAAATAGCGAATAATAGCTAATAAACGGAAAAATTTCG